TGTGATCCGCCAGCCCTGCGTCGTCCCGCTCTGCGCAGCCCTCTGCCCCGTCTGTCCCCTTTGCAAGGTCTTACTTGGTTCGCCCCACGCCTTGGTGCCGGAGATGTGTCACAACGACAACGGTCACAACGGTCACAACTGACCAAGACGGTGATTGTAGCAGGTGCCTCCCACTATAGGACAGGATGGACGATACGATACCGGCACAGTGGTAGCTCGTCTACTACAGGAGCACAACCGCATTCTTCTGTGGTACCTACTAGACTACACGCGTTTTCTGTTTGTTTACTCTTTTTTTTCGGCGTCGCTAATGCGATTGTCCGCGTCAGAACACTGCTTATGTTGCATGACGCGGAATGTGATTAAACTGTCGGGTCGAGTCGGCCTGCTCACGAGAGCCCCCGGACTTCCCTCCGAATAGGCCCATCCGAGCGCACCGCGTAGGGCGGGGCGGGGCGGGGGCGAGCCAGCTCGGAGTATAGACTCGGCCGGAGCTGCGGCGATACCCCGCGCTACCGTGCGGGCGGGGGATGGAGCAGCTGCGGGCGCTACTCCACGCGTCTGGACTGCAATGCTTGAGTCGAGACAGCCCGTGTACTCCTATCGGCCCCACTCTACGTAATAAGCGTGTTGTGCGCGGTGGGAGTGCCTGCCTCTGCCCTCCCCAGCTTAACAATAGGTTTATTGAGTCATCACAATGCACAGCTCAGAGGAAGGAACGATTTATTATCGTATTAGAGGCGGTCCAAGGTACATACAACAGCAATGATTATTCATCGGAATTTTTATTATTTTTGTATTATTATTACTTAATTTACTTATACCAACAGTGCTGTGCATGATGACAATAATGTGGCCGTCGGCAGTCTTATCAGTCTTATCACACGGCGCCTCGCTCATCGCCCAAATGGACGATTCGCCCCGGAGCGGCGGCGGGCGCCCGGACGCCGCCGGTCCCTGCGCGCCCGACCGATCAGTCGTCGGCGACGGTGGTCGCCAACTCGGTGGTCGTGACGTCCTCTTCCGTCGTCAGCTCGGTCGCCTCGGGGCTCTCTGGCGGTCCGGCGGTGGTCTCAGCCGGCGGCTGCTCCGCGACCACGATCAGCACTCTGGAGTCCGTCGGGCGGTCGCCCTCGCCCTGCTGCTGCGGCTCTGCCCCCCGCGGGGCTGCGGTTTCCGCTTCAAGCTGGTCGTCGTCCTTCTCGCGCCGCTGGGGCAGCTCCGGACTGCTGTCGGCCTCCTGCTGCCCCGGGGCCACGGTGGGGGGCGGCGCCAGGGGCCCGGGCGAGCTGGGCGCGGGCGGCTTCTCCGAGGTGTGCGCCACCGAGTGGTCCAGCTCCACCCTGGACGCGGCGTCCTCCTCCTCGGGGCACTCGCACAGCGGCAGGTTCTCGTCGTTCTGGTCGGGTGGTGCCGGGGTCGACACCGATGTCGGGACTTCGGACGCGCTCGCCGCCGGGGCTCCGGAGGATGACTCTGCTCTCTGCGCGTAGGCGTGGGGGAGGCCTCTCACGGGCGCGTAGAGGAAGTTGTAAATGTCCGGCTCTGCAGCGGGCGCGGGCCCGGGCGCGGTGAGGCGCAGGGGGCCGGTGTGGGTCGCGTAGGCGGGCACCGGCGGGGGCAGCGCGGCGGGCAGCCGGTAGGCCGACACCGGGAAGACGGGCACCACCTTCCTCTTCGGCGTGATGAAGGCCTTGAAGGGCGGCGGTGGGCTGTGCGGCAGAGAGTGATCGGGTAGTGGCGCCAACCGGGTTGTACCAGGCGGACTGGGAGGCGGCGCCGGCCGGGGCGTCGTCGACGACGCCGACACTGTCGTCGTCGCCCGAGGTGTGGACTCGTCCTTTTGCGCGCCGCCGTTGGTGCCAGCCAGGACGTTCCTCTTCAGTTCCGGGGGAAGCGCACGAAACGGGAACCCGCCCAGCCCGTGGTGGAAGCCGCCGAGGCCGTGGTGAAAGCCTCCGAGGCCGCCGTAGTGGAAGCCGCCGAGACCGTGGTGGAAGCCGCCGAGTCCGTGGTGGAAGCCGCCGAGTCCGTGGTGGTGGCCGAGGCCGCCGCCCAGGAACAGGTGCGGGAAGTGCATGAAGTGCAGCAGCGGGAAGAAAGGATGGAAGAAGAGCTTGCCGCGGCCGGAGGCGCCACCCGCGTCGCCGGGGGTCAGCAGGATGGCGTGTGGCGCGGTGACCGCGGGCGCGGGGAGGTTGGCCACGACCTGGGGGACCAGAAAGACGCGGGGATTAGGTCACGTATGGGCGGCGCGCACCGCGAGCGGGGCCGTAAGGACTCATGATGGTGATGGGGGTGATAAGAGGGACCGCTAGGGCGCCGACCAATCAGGTGACAGTTTAAAAGGGGTCAATGGAATGTTGGGCCACAGCTTCATGATGATTATTATCTAACAGATGAGAAAGGAATCTGGGCCTCGGTCTCTGTCGTCGTGACCGAGCTGGCCCTCTCTCGAGTGGGACCCTTGTCCGTTAGTCGAACAAAAGGACATTTTTGTCATCTTATCTTGTGACCCACTTCCAAATTTTGCTACAGTTTTATTTCGAATGTCAGCACAGTTGACCTTCATGCGAATATGCATGTGATTGGAATCGTGCTCAGAGTCCACAGGGACCCCGTGATATTTTGGACTCCACGGGATAAAAATAGCACGAGTCCCTTTGGACTCCAAGTATTGTTCCGAACCCTTTGGTCCCCATAATAGTTGGACCCCCCTACCCTTAAAGTCAGGTAATTTGGGCACGATGAAAAAAACAACCATAAAACAGCACTGGGCTGTCCAGTCAAGAGGCTTTGAAGGAAAAGATAGCATGATAAAAACGACGGTTTGTCTGTAGAAGCAATTTTGGACAAACCAAGCCCCCTATGATGCTTGGCTGCTTAGAAACTGTGTTCCCAAGTAAAGTAGGCAAATTTCCCACGGAGTACACACATGTGCTTAGCGGGCCGCATACGCCTGCCTACGAGGCCACATTCATGCATCTGTGCCAATGGGGTTGCCTAGTATGCAGGCGTAGATGCAGCCCGCTAAACAACCTGTGACCCACCCAAGACGCACGTTCTGCGGTCCTGCCCCTCTTGTTTCATCATTCTTTTATGATTATTGTTATCGCTGGAAGGTAGGATTGAATGCGCGTACCACAAAACACAGCCTTCCGGGTACTGCCGAGATTGTTGTTAGCGTTTAATCATACACGATGGCAGAGACAGTATTGGGGCACGACAAACTCCCGTGGGTCAATAACGCATGCATATACCGTTTCCCCTCCACGAACGGGTATCGCACTATGTATGCGAGGGAGCCGAGCCGAGCCGTGCAGGCGGGCGGGCGGGTTCTCTGCAAACTTGGACCTGGACCTGGCTGACCCCCGTCAAGCTGGCGCGGCGGCGGGGAAACGTATGCCACTCGTGCGTCGAGAAGTATGGAGTACTCACCGCCGACATGCCTGGCGCGGACGTCTCTGCTGCTCGGTCTGGGCTGGTCACGGCAGTGCGCGGGACGCTTCGTGTGGACGGCTCGGGCTCGACTGGCCCCTCGGTGCTTTTGGGCCCTCCTCACCGTGGTCAGATCATTTTGATGCACCGGCCCGCAGCATCCTGTGTAGTACCCCCCTCC